ATCAGATTTGGCACACATGTTCACTCTGGCTCAAGGCTGAAGTAATTAAGTGGAGCTCCGTGCTAAACTGCACAAAAATACATCCCCCCTCCTGCTCTACTGTACATTCTCAACTTTCAACACTGAACTGTGTAAACTGTCCGGGTTAGGCTGCTCATACGGACTGAATCTATACTGTCAACAAATGAGGGAATAAGTGAAAGAGCAAAGGAAGCAATTACTGTATCTGTCTTCATCCCGCCTCCTGCAGGATAAAGCCACCGTTGTAGCACTAACACCAGAAGTTCCTCAGTCTTGACCTGAGTCTGGTCTTTAGTGAGCTACCAGAGCCCGAAGGGAGATAAGGGGCCTGCCAGGCAAACAAACTTCACATCCAGATAGAAACGTTCATTTATAAAGCTATTTATGTGAAAATGGGAAAATCCATAACCGCTTAAGCTTGCTTTAACCCAAGACAGATGATGAAAAGCTTTTCTAGATGTGCACTGTCTGACAAGTAATCCCTTAATTACGCGGTTCTATTTGACCAGAGCCGACAAGAAGAGCTATCTGACAATATCAGTTTAGAATATGACAGTTTCTGAGGTTCAAATACGACAGTTTGTCTATAACTGAAGCCTCATGTATGTTAACATAAGGCGTTATTAATATTCATCACTGACATTTATTCTCTGCGTTACTCCTACCCTTTTGTTTTCTTATTTAACAAAGGCTTGCGTTTCGGAGGGAAACTAAATCTATCGGCGATCTATCACGAGTTCATAAAGGTCAGAAAAGGTTTATGTGTATATTATATAAATTGCATTTCTGATGGAAGCTCAGGCCACTGCGTGCCTCATTAAACTACCTGAAAATACCCAGGATTTGAATGTCAGTACCTCAGTATTTTTGGTATTTTACTGCGTGTCTGTGTCTCTGGGGTAATGACTGCCTATCTCAGTCCCGGCTGCTTCAGAAAGCAGCTGCTTTCTTACCAGCATTAGCAAAGAGCAAAACATAACCCCAGTCTGGGCTTCTCTCCACTGGCTTCCTGTACGGTTTAGAATTGATTTATTGATCTCTGCATTTTACTGGCCAGTTTTAAAGCACAACCCTGTAATGTCATTTGGGATTGCAAACCCCCTGGCAGCCTTAGATCATCACGCTGAAGCTTAAATCTAAAGCCGTCTGTGCGTTTGTCACCAGGGCTGTTCAGCTTTGGAACAACTTTGCTGAAGAGATGAGACTTGCAGAATAGAGTAATTTTCTTTAAATGACTTAATAAAACACTCTGACATAGACACAAAAATGTCCTTTTATGTGCAGTTGTCTTTTATTGTCCTTTTATCATTTTCAATTATATTTTTATTGTTTGTTACTGTTATTTCTTTTATTGAGTTTATTTATTATTTTATATTGACATTTTGGCATTTCTCTCACTCTGTTTTAACCCTACCTTTGCTTTAACCTCATCACTGTTTGCTGGCATCACACTCTGGGTCTCTGTTTTTTACCCCCTGAGTAAAACACTTTGTGTCTTTGAAAAGAAACAAAATGAGAAAGACGGGAAAACTGAGGGAACTGGACAAACTAAGAATAACAAGAAGAATAACTAAAAATTCAAAACTCAAACAAACTAACTAATGAGTCGAACCAGACAAACTGGCTTTTTGCATTTATATTTAAAAAAAGCACTATAGGTATTTACAACTAGAACACAGCAACAAGATTGTGTGCAAGAGATGGAAATTGCCGAATATTTGTAACTGTCCCTGCTGCATATGTATTTCTGGGAATTCCTTTCTCAAGGCACAAAATATAGGGAAGAAAATGTTTGAATTAAATGCACAAACTGATTTACTAATAGATTGTGACATGCAATTTGCTGCTAGTTGCACCGATATTCAACACAAAAAAGGGCACGTCTTATTTTTTTGCACTTTATATTGAAATGACCTGATGCCTCCTATCCTTAGAAAACAGCGCAACTTTTGTAAATCACCTGTAAAATTAACCACACTTTTGAGTATGATCACTATTTGGAGATTGCACTCATACGGTATTTTGTATTTTAGTAAATGTGGCCCATAGTATCACAGTGTTACTAAACTAAAAACACTTTCTGAAAACTAAGAATTCATGAGTTAAAACACCAGAAGGAATTCACTTAAGAGCCCCTCCTCCCCCATGAAAGGTTGAGTTTGCAGAAATGTGTAGAGGAATTTAATTCAATTCAATTTTATTTATATAGCCCCAAATTACAACAACAGTTGTCTCAAGGCGCTTTATACTGTAAAGTAAAGACCCTGCAATAATACAGAGAAATTCCCAACAAGCATATGAACCCCTTTGAGCAAGTGTTTTGGCGACAGTTGGAAGGAAAAACTCCCTTTTAACAGGAAGAAACATCCAGCAGAACCAGGCTCAGTGAGGTGCGGCAGGACAGGACAAAGATACATTGTGGAAGAGATTCAGAGATAAATAATAACTAATAATAAAGATTTGGATCTCAATACTGTGGATGCTTAATCAGCATCTACACTAATTAAATGCAGAGAGGTATAAACACATAGTGAGTGTAAAAAGGTGAGTGAAGAAGAAACAGTGCATCATGGGAAGGCCCCAGCAGCTTAAGCTTATTGCAGTAAAACTAAGTGACAGGGGATTTCTAAGAATCGCCCCACAGTTCTTCAGCTGAGACACCTGAGTTAGAAAACACAAACACTGCAGAAGTTTTTCACTCGCGAGGGCAGTCATCACTGTCTGTGTTCTTTATTTATACAAGATTGTGTGTGTGTGTGTGTGTGTGTGTGTGTGTGTGTGTGT